TTTTCAGAACGATGAGCTTTGTAAAAATCGACGGGTTTCAGAAAGGCGGGGCATAGAGGAGAAACAATAATGTACAGTATGTGGAAAATAATGTGTTTTTTTAACCTTAAACCGCATAAACACATTTCATTACACCAAATACACAAAATAATGATCTTTTTAGCAGCATCATATGACCCCTTTAATATTTTCAGGACAGTTAAGAACCCACCTCCCTATTTTTGGGATGTTTGACTTGAAAAAAAAACCTTTTATTCTCAGTAGGGATATTTTTATTATTCTAATACTATATTTTTATTTCATAAATTAAAGGTGTTATCACATGATATGTAAATACTTTACAATTGAAGTGAAATAAAAAATTCTTCCAACTTAATGATAAGTAATTTTATTTTGTATTATTATTTATTTATTTATTGGCTTTAATTATTATGAAAATAATGCCATTGTGCAATGAATCATAATAATCCTAATAATATGCTTAAATTTCTATATTCAAAAAAAAAATTTTTTCTGTTGATTTTGGTTTTTAATATGACCTGGACATGTTATTGGCATGGTTTTGTGAGATTCAGCCCAAGCAGCTTTGTGTCTTTCCTTTGCAAAGAACCATATCAGTTTGATTATTCACACACAAATCCTTCAATTTTGTTTTGTGAATCAGATCAACAAGTTCATGGAAAAGATTCGAATTTAAAGAATGATTAATTTATGAAATTGGTAATTATAGGGAGGATTTAAAGATTTTCATTAAATAGTGATGTAAAATTCTCTATTATTGATTGGAATATAGTGCCTGATGTCAGTTCATAAATCCTAATTTATAGTAATTTAATGTAGAATTTAATACATTTCTCCTTTTGTTTTGCACAGAATGAATATCATGAGTTTGGAACACCATGTGGGTGAGTAAATACTGACATTTCATGCATTTTTGGGTGAGCTATAATTTAAATTAAAGGCTGGAGGGTGCCAAGGATCTGATAATTGTTTGTGGTTACACAAACTTCTGAGCTAACAAATGCCAGAATGAGAATCTTCATTCTAGAGTCAAGCAAAAATAGAATCCACAAGCTGGATTCATTTTCCAGGGTTTCAGACACACAAGAGTTCAAAATGAAACAGATGAAGGGCATTTTTCTTGTTTGAGCTGCATATGAAATTGATTGAAGTCACCTCGTTAAGCTTGTGCAATTTCCAAGTGCTTCAAAATCAGACTTTCTTAAGGGTTGCTTCCAGTAGTGCAATAAGTACCACCTTTGAACAACAGCACTATTCACGATGACTTGATCGATCCTGATTGTTTTTTAGTATTTTCATATTTCATTATATGAAAAACTTCATTCCAGTCTCCTGAATTGTACATTAAGTACCCATTCCAGCTCTTAGAAAGTCTCCATAGATTGATTTGCTCTCTCATGTGTGCTTCGAGGATTCATCTCACATACGGAATGAATGTTAGAATTTGTAAAAACAACATTGATGATGATGACTATTATTAAATAATAATTTTTGTCCCTTGACGTAAAAGATGTACATGTCTGGACATAAGAAATGAATACATTCCCATAATGCACTCCTTAAAGTCATAGTTTGCCCCAAAATGAAAATTCTGTCACCAATTACTCACCATAAGAATTCAAATGAAGATATTAATGAAACCTGAGAGATTTCTGTCCTTCCACTTAAAGTCCATTCAAAAAAAGTCATAAAGAGATCTTAAAAGAAATCTGTATGAATAGAACAGTCTTCTGAAGAGACAAAATCACTTTATATGATGGACAGATTTAATTTAGGCTTTTATTCACATATAATCGTTGATCAGTGGGCATACATACAGCTCACCTAATATGGTTAACAAAAGCTCAGTTGTACTTGCTTGAGATGCGAGAACAAACCTCAGTAGTTCCTGCACATCAAAAAGCACATTTAAGCTTCCATTTACCATATTTAATAAGCAGAAGACTTGGAGTAAACCGCTTGATCCATATGATTTACTTGAAGTTTTAGTTGTGTGATCTTTCAATGGAGGGACAGAAATATCTCAGGTTTTGCTTCGTTTGTGTTTCGAAGATGAACAAAAGTCTTATAGATCTGAAACAACATGATGATGGTAAATTTTTGGGTGAACTATCCCAAAATAGGTTAAGAGGCTAAACCTTCTGTTAATTATTTTGTGTTTGCTCATTTACTGATTTCCATTTGAATAATACTATTCATCTTTTTTAATAGGAGTATTTCAGTGTGATTTTCGTGTCGAATGATCATGCTAACATAAAATCCCTGCAAAGTGCTTGTGTGTAACAGTAATATCATTTTTCACAAGTGGATGATGTGTTGCTTTACATAAGTTGTCCAGTAGGGGAAGACATTACACATGAAATCTATTGACACCTGATTGTGAGAGTGTGTAGAAATCGAACGGTGAGTCAGTGCGCTGCAGGCTGAGGTAGTTGGTTGTATGGTTTTGCATCATAATCGGCCTGGAGTTAACTGTACAACCTTCTAGCTTTCCCTGCGGTGTCACCATTACGCCGAGGTGAGTATGAATGACCATCAGCGGCATATAGACAAGCATTTCAAATGTTTTTGCCTTAAAATTGAGCTGCAAGGTTGAAAACTAAATATATGGTCTGAATCAGCACAGAAGCACCTTCATTGTTGTTGTTTTTGTAGTTTCAGTGTTTGTTGCGCTATCATTCACAGGTTGTTAGTCGCCCCTGTCTGCCATATGGCCAGTTTGGGTGAGTGCCCAAATGCCCCCGTCCACAAGAGGGCTCCAACAAATCAGTCGAGTCTAGTAAATTCCTAATTAAAAACAGGAAGGTGGAGATAACAGATTGAAATTTATACAAGAGGATAAATGTGTTTTGTGTACTTAATAGGGTTGTTCAACCTCAAACTGTAGCATAGAGAATGGCACTAGCAACGTCAAGTTATTGGTTCGATTCTGAGGGATGCATGAAATGATAAATTGTACCTTGTTTTACGTTGCATTGGATAACATTCAGAATTGCATTGAGACAGCCTTTTCAATTCCAGTTCAATTCCTGAAGCAAACAGGATGCAGAATTTGAAACTGAAATAGAATTAAAAATAGAATGAAATTCCTAAAACTGCTAAAAGTGTAGATTTAAATAAGACATTTATTTTTTTTCTGTGTGAATTACTAATAAACATCAACATATGAGTAGCATATGAGTAAGCAGCATATATAAGTAATTTGCAAAAATATGATATTAAATAATCAATGTTTCTACCAATACAAATTTATATTTAATTTATATATATGTATATATTTTTTCCATTATATTTTATAAATCAATTTTCATTTCATGGTTCATTGTGGAAAAACACATTTTTTTTAAAGTTTTAATTTTTAATTAAGTTAATTGTTTTAATAAAACATAATTAACACCAAATTTGTATATAATTTATTTTTCTGAAAACAATAAGATGGATATTTTGTGTCACTTCAAAATTAAATTATACGTTTTTTGTGTGGCTGTTTTAATTATTGTGATAATACTAAACAGCTCAGAAAGTATTAATCAGAATAAAAAATGTATTCTACATGTTGATAAATATCAACAGACACGAGTTTGCTGGAAGAAGAATTTTAAATCTTATGGGATCCACAGAAGATTTTAATATAATATAATATAATATAATTATTTCAGCAATTTGTGTTGATATGAAATGTTTATTTCGTATACAGATACTTCTGAATTGCTTTTAATGGAGAAGAATTTGTGGAAGCAGATAAATCCGACAAATAATGTTGGTAAAGCATCTCACCTTTTTACTCAAGATAAGCACACAATAGCTGATAAAACTGCATCAGGGGAAGGAATTTTATCATTGGAAATCAATTCACACAAGTATTTATGGTTCAGTACATGGAGAAATAGCACTGCTGTGGCACTCATTCTTCTCATTTTTCCTCAGTATTTTGGATAAAACCAGGCAGCACTTCATTATCCATTTTCCATTACCCATAATCTGCTATTTAATTCATTTTAATGTGTTTTCAGGTGCAAACCGCCATTCTTTTCTTCTCAAGCACATACATTATAATAATAGCAGGATATTAGGATGGGTTTTAAGTTGTGTGGTCAGTGTGTTTGCAATTAGCCTCTCAATCATCTCTCCAGCACTCTTATGAATGATTACAGTCTCCTCCTCCTCTGTCTGGCCGCTCACACGGTCTGCCAGGATCCGCATTGCGTTGCCCTTCTCCTCTAAAAAGAGATAAAAAGAGCACATATCAGCAATCTGTGCCTGTCGTTGTTCTTTTCCAGACACGTAAACGCACACCAAGACATTCAGCCTCACATTACGAGAAACCGAGAAATCACACCCAGGAGAGACTGGATGGAGACAGACTCGAGAACAAAGAAACGGTCTTGTGCACATAAACAAACCTGCGCAAATAAAAACCTCCCATGCGTAGCCTCAAGAAAAGCTATGATTTAATGGAAAATTCCAGATTTTTGATCATATAGTGAGAATTATTTGTGAACGAATGCGCCATAGATCTTGATGCATTAATTTGATTGCGTGCTAGAACAGGTGTCTCAAAGGACGTTTTTTTTTCTAAATATCTAACATCATAATGCAAACAGGGCTACACCTTGATCCCCATCCTTATTTCACTGCATAAAAGTACGTCATGGTATTGTGCGCTTTCTGTCATAGTCATGTTGCCTGATTCTTGCTCACTTGACTGTTCTTCCAAACACTTCGTCAGTCTCTGGTGTTTTGGCTCGTTATCTTTTGATTAATCCGTCTAATTGTTTGTTTCCCTTTTCAATACGGCCCTGATTGGTTGTGTAACTTCTTTGTTTGTTTGTTTATTCAGCTCCATCATCAGTGTGTGTTTGATGAATTCACAATGTGGATCATGAATATTTATCGTGCACAGGCTGATGGTGTTCAGATCCTGGAGATTATATAGTCGCTGTGGATTTAAGGTGAAGTGAAGTTGACGTGTGGCCAAGTATGGTGTCCCATACTCAGAATTTGTGCTCTGCATTTAACCCATCCAAGTGCACACACATAGTGAACACACACACACACACACCATGAACACACACCCAGAGCAGTGGGCAGCCAATGCTGCGGCACCCGGGGAAACAGTTACAAATGTACTTTTTGATTAGTGACCTATAGAAATAGTACAGAATAGTAAATGCTTTTATTTACTAATTTTAGGTCATAACTTGTCTAAATTTGATTATTTAAAAAAAATAAATCTCCTACTTATTTCCATGTTTAAAACCCATGCGTCCAGCTTGTTCTCAGATTTTCGCTCCCCACAGTATATTATTAAAGAGTCTTTAGATTATTATGTAACCTGCGAGCTCTTATGAATGTATCATATGACGTGCTAGTCTGAATTGAAATGGTGTAGCCTAACATGCATGCACAGAGTTTCCTCATTCGGGCTTAATTGAGTCATTCCAACCTGCCATTAGATCAAATCTTTCAATCAAAGGAAGGAGTTTGGTATAATGCAGCATGATGGCTGGTGACACTTTTCATTACTGCAGGGTAATCACCCCCGAGCTTTTGTTGTCTGGTAGAGGAATCTCGTTCTCTCTCTCTCTCTCAGAAATTATCTTTAACTCACAATCTCCCCATCTATCCCATATTGTCTCATCTGTTCCATTTCACACACACAGACACCCTTCCAAGCCTTGAGATCAATCACAAGGTGTTATGACTGCTCTTGCGTTCGAGTGCCAGACATTGCTGTGGGGGGGAGAAAGAAAGAAAGAAGGAAAGAAAGAGAGAGAGAATGGCAGATATTCTACTGACAAAACGCAGGAGAGGAGGAGAAGAAAACGAGAGAGGGAGGGGGGGGTTGGTTAGAGGAAGGGGAGCGAGACGCCGAGGCAGGGACAGTGACGACAGGGAGCAGCACAGGGTCTGAACGTCCACGGTGCTCGCTGGTTGGGTGCGTTAGTGTTTAGGTGACACTGATTTATGATGTTGGGGGGGATTAGACATGGTTTCTGTCGGGGCGGGAGGAAGGAGTAATGAGAGGAAGGGAGGGAGAAACAGAGAGAAAAGGAAGAGAAGAGGGGACGGCATCAGATAATGGTAGGCTGCTCAAAGCGCACCTATCTCATGAGCTGCGCCGCCTCTGATTGCCACGAGTGTCAGAGCATCATTGCCACTCTAGGAGGGAGAAGAAGAGAGGAGAGCACAGGGCGAGATAGAAGTCAAACAGGGATGGAGGAAACTAGTTTATCGTACGGCTCTAAGGAAGCGAACGTCTGGAGACACTATAGCGGATTTCGTGACAACTCTTTAAGTGTATAACATACAAGGCGTACCGTGCGTGTCTGTGAGTGCGTGTGAATTAGGTTGGGACGAGAAGGAATAGTGAACAAAAGACTTCCGTCTTTGGCTTTTTTAATATTTGTAACACTGCAAACTGTTGTTTTTCCCTGCATGCCATTCTAAATCTGCCTTTTTGTCTGCTGTTTCCCTCTCCACTCTTGTTTCGAAAGAGATAGGCAGCCTTAAAACTGGGGCACTATGAGACCGAGAGGAAGAGAGAGAGAACAGTGTTTGCTGTTTTCTGGTACAGCATGCTTTCTATACATCTTCGACCCATGACGTGTCGCATTTGTCGTACGATCTATCGCGCAAAGGCCGGGTGGTTTGTGATACGCGTCACACATTTATAGATATACCACCTATGTGTGTCGCTCACATGCACACTGATGCCTCTGTGTTTGTGGCTTCACAGAAAAGGAGGGCAGCCAGAGAGAGTCAAAGCGCACCTATCTCATGATCTGCGCCGCCTCTGATTGCCACGAGTGTCAGAGCATCATCGCCACGCTAGGAGGGAGAAGAAGAGAGGAGAGCGCAGGGCGAGATAGAAGTCAAACAGGGATGGAGGAAACTAGTTTACCGTACGGCTCTAAGGAAGCGAACGTCTGGAGACACTATAGCGGATTTCGTGACAACTCTTTAAGTGTATAACATACGAGGTGTAGCGTGCGTGTCCGTGACTGCGTGTTTCGCCATACATTTGGTAAATTAGGTTGGGACGAGCAGGGATAGTGAACAAAAGACTGCGGAAGACTTCCGTGTTTGGCTTTTTTAACATTTGTAACACTTGCATGCCGTTCTAAATCTGCCTTTTTGTCTGCTGTTTCCCTCTCCACTCTTGTTTCGAAAGAGATAGGCAGCCTTAAAACTGGGGCACTATGAGACCGAGAGGAAGAAAGAGAGAGAGAGCGGTGTTTGCTGTTTTCTGGTACCGCATGCTTTCTATACATCTTCGACCCATGACGTGTCGCATTTGTCGTACGATCTATCGCGCAAAGGCCGGGTGGTTTGTGATACGCGTCACACATTTATAGATATACCACCTATGTGTGTCGCTCACATGCACACTGATGCCTCTGTGTTTGTGGCTTCACAGAAAAGGAGGGCAGCCAGAGAGAGAGACAGAGAGAGGGCAGAGACAGTTTGCTGGCAGTGCATATCTGTTTTTGGGTTCATTCGGTTCATGTGTCATACTCGGTGTCTGCCACCAGGGGGCCGGACAGAACTAACTGCGCAATTGTTTATGGCGCTGATGCTAAATCTTAATTTCAGTGCTCGTTAAGGCGTTGCTGTTAATTCCTGAGGGTTAAAATGAGTGTCATGTGTTAAAACTTGCTTCTGTTTGCTACAGGTCGCAACCTCAGGAGATTTAGAGATGTCACGCAATTTGGAGAAGAAACCGTCATTGTGAGAGTGATGCATTTACTTTTTTTTGGCAAATCTGACAAAGGTAAGAAGGAAGGTAAAGAAGTGTCATCATCCAAGCTTAGTATGCGGTATATATAAAATATTCAGTGTGTGTGTGTGTGTGTGAATATCTATCTATCTATCTATCTATCTATATACATTACCATTTAAAAGCTTCTGGTCGGTAAGATTTTTTAAATCTTTTTGAAGTAAGTTTTGAAGTGCGCACCAAGACTGCATTTATTCGATCAAAAATACAGTTAAAAAATTGATTTCTTATTATTACTATTATTATTATTATTGATTCATTATTATTATTTAAAGAAATAATTCTTATTATTATCAAGGGTGAAAACAGAAAACAGCTGTCCTGTCTAATATTTTTGGAAACCGTGATAAAAAGAGCAGCATTTATTTGAAGAAAAAAAAAAAAAAAAAAAAAAAAAAAAAAAAAAAAAAAATAATAAAAAAAAAAAAAAAAAAAAAAAAAAAAAAAAAAAAAAAAAAAAAAAAAAAAAAAAAAAAAAAAAAAATATATATATATATATATATTCCCTAAGTATACG